TGGCTCAGACTTGATGTAATTGACGGAGTGCTATTTTCAGAAAATTGAATGCATAAAGCATTTGACAAATGGTTGTGTCACCTAGTCACGGCCTACCATCCTTCTCCAGAAGACACCTTCCAACCACCGTCCCATCCAAAATGCACGATCTGGGGCCGGACCGAGCCACCTGCGCTGTCTCGGATGAGAATCGCTAATGGTCTCCAGTTTTCTGTGCCAAAGGTCGCGGCAATGTCGAACCGTCGGCCATCCCCAGAGTCATCCTAGCTCCGACTGAGACCTTTGCCGAGTCGATAACTTATGGATGGACTCCGGTCTCGGCCGAGAGACGGCTGCCGATACCCCGTGAATGTTACATGGGAGCGAGTTCAAAAGTGCTGTGCTGGTCGGCTGGCCGAATGTTATAAAACCGAGCCGCCGGTTGACTGAATAATAAATCGAGAACGATGGCTTCTGAGCTCTGACGAAATGGGGGGAATATTGGAGCATCTGTATTTAGATTCCTGGCCAGGAAATAAAACTCCTCTATCTCCCACAAACATTGATTTGGGACATGTACATATTGCTCCGTCCCATCGTTGCGCTCCTGTCACGGCCATGCCACCCCAGTCTGTCACTGTCAGCACGGTGACAGCCTGTCACGGCCATGTCACCCCGTCAGTCACTGTCAGCACGATGACGGCCTGTCACCCCCGGAAGTGGCGGGCCGCCGCCCACCCTCTCCCGGCGACTCGCCTGATGTCGGCCAGCACCGTCCCGAGTCTGACCGACTGTCACCGCGCGACGGCGGCGGCCGAGCCTCGGGGCAATGCCATTTCCGTGTGGCTCTTCGTCGGCAGAAAATGCCGAGAGAGAACAGGAAAAGCTCTGGTCGGCTCTGTAACCAAGCGTCTCTCTCTCTCTCTCTCTCTCTCTCTCTCTCTCTCTCTCTCTCTCTCTCTCTCTCTCTCTCTCTCTCTCTCTCTCTCTCTCTCTCTCTCTCTCTCCCTCTCTCTCTACTCTCCCTCTCTCGCTCTCTCTCTCTCTCTCTCTCTCTCTCTCTCTCTCTCTCTCTCTCTCCCTCCCTTCTATCTTTCTCTCTCTGTGTCCCTCTCTCTCCGTCCCTCCCTCCCTCTCTTTCCGACCTGACTACTCGTTCTTTCCCAGTTGCTTTCCCTCTCCCTTTTCTCTAACCCTCTAATCCTCCTATCTCCTTACATCACTCTTCTCCCTCTCTCTCCCTCTCTCTCCCCTCTCTGTCCACTCTCTCTGCTCTGCCTGACATCCCCTCCCGTCGACTGATTCCACAGTCGTCGCGGTCGGCCCGTACATTAGGGCCGCCATTAGCCGCCGCTCGGCTGTCCGGCCAGACCTGTTTGCTGGTCCAAGAATGGAACCGTCGGCCGCATACGAATGAAGCGATCTGTATGCAGTGCAGGGCGATTGTGTTGTGTGACCATGGTCAGAGCCTGCTGGACAGCTAGCTGGACAGGGGAGGCAGGATTGGCAGGGTGTTCGAGATGTGGGGACAAAGATGTAGGCGTGGGGGCTATCTAGCTGGATTTTAGGTGGACATCGGGCAGATATTTTAGCTGGGTCTTTACTCTTTGGCGTAGGGATTCCAGTGCAACGGATGTTATGTTGAAAATATGTCGATATTAGCCGTTTTCACGACGGCCATCTGGTACACATTTGGTGCACATCTGGTGCAGATCAGGTGCAGATTTGGTGAAATCAGGTTCGGTGTGTCTCTTAGTAGCTATCAGCTAGTGTTGCACTAATTGCTTATATGCCTGCTTTGTCATATTTTCAGAGAGTATCATCGATTAAAACACTGAAATAAATTCATAAAATAAAGAGATTTGCTGTAAAAGAGAGTAGGTGCAGATTTGGTCAAATTAGGTGCACTCGCCGGATAGCCCTTCGTGAAAACGCCTATTGTGTGACAAGTTGAAACTGCTGAGACGGTATTGGTGGATTATTAACGGAACAGCTGACTCGACTATTAAATTTAGTGCAGAGTTGTTGATAACAGATTGGTGTAGATTTAGCAAAGTTGACACAAACACGATTTAAGGCGGAGTTTTTCGGTGATTAGTTCCACACCTTCCGCAGTTTGGATCATAGATACTCGTTCCTACGTGCGAAAGGGAAAATAGCAATACAAATACAGTGAATCAAGCGTCTGAATTTGCCATTCAAATTAGCATGAAATTGTCAATATTTAATTCTTATTTTGATGAAAATATGACTATAATTTATATCACACGATCTTTCCCAGTTGACTTGTCCTGTAAGCTCGGTCACAATATACTGCCTTTGATCTTGTATGTAGTACCATTCAGCTGGAAAACTTAGCGTAGATCAAGCGAATCAATGCCAATAATGTATCAGAGTAGGAGTGAAACGAGGTGAATTTCCACAACACAAGAATTTCCACAATCAATTCTCGGTATTCTAGATGCGTGATTAGCGGATGTCATGCTCTCATTCTTTTTCAGCATTTAGAGAACATTCCATAGCAAAAAACAGGTTGCATAGTAATTCGTGGGCTATGATAGTTTAACGCTCCAGTCCATTCTACCGTGAAAAAGCGGGACAGATGAGAGCCTGCAGGTGCGGTTAAACTGCACACATTATGCAAAAGAGACAGACGCATTCGGTGGCATAGCGGAGGGCTTCATTTGGTATGCGAACCATAATGACCACTTAAATGACGTTGACGTGAAATATATTTCACGCAGGTAAGTAGTAAACAAATGTTACTATAAAAATATTGCAAACGTTTTTTGTGAAGAAAAAAGCTTGTGATGGCAAATAGGTGAGATTTTAGCATTATTAAAAATCTTATGAAACATTTTTATTTAAACGGTCATTACACCGGACTTTATCTAATAATTGTTGTCAAAGCATTATTTGCAGTATCTGACAACACGTACGAGTGCAGACGTTTCAATTGCTCAAAGTGGTCCGCTTCTGGTATTGACAATCGATCTAACGTCTGTGCAGAGCTAAATTAGAGAGTGCCCTTGGATGTGTGTCAAACACAAAGATACTGATGAGACGTAATCGAACGTTCAATACGGTGAGGGAAAACAAGCATTCTAGTGGAATGTTGTATGGTATTGGTTCATTTCACATTAGAGAAAAGCAAACTTCCCGAACGCAATATACGCTGTGTCACCTGCTACGGAAACATGCCCTATTGTAATGTATAGGTACACTGCAGTCTACGGGGCCTGGGCTGAGGACATACAAACTAACATTGAAAAAAGAAGAATCGGTCCCAAACAAGGTATGATTCATCTCATAAGGCTGGGCTACATGGACTTACTAGCACTCCATACTATTACGATCATAAATGTGTTTTGAAATAATGAAAAGGAGCACTTAACCGATGCAGTTAAAACTTTTATATTCAGTTTGTAGTTGCAATTGTGTGCTCACCAATGAAACAAGTATGTTATGGCCATTTCGTTTGCGAAGTGGCCTTATATATTATGAAATTAAAAATAAATATGAAATAAAAAAGCAAACTTATGCTGTTGACGTAGAAAGTATTCACGTAACACGTCACCTTATCATTATTTATTGCTAAGAGAACATCAATATTGTTGGAATGAAATCAAAGATCCATATGAGGCCAGAGCAGCGCTTCGGAAATTAGCTCGTGCGCTGGCTAGGAATTATCGACATAATCGACCGCTAGCTATATCCGGTTATATCCAGATTGTGGCCAGCGCTGGAACGGACAGTCGATGCGGGAGGGGATTCTTCCGTTACCTAACAGGCGTTCTATGCCGCGGAAAGGAACGCGGGAGATGTTATGTATTTTGCGTATAGGGAAGAGGAGAGCCAAGGGGTGACGACTGGGCTGGCTGCACTCTGCAGTGACCTGGGTAACAGGCCCATCTCCAATCCTCCTAGTTTTTGCAGAAGGGAACTGCGGTAGGGACATGCCTTGCATCTGTCAGGAATGCCTTGCAGCTGCCGGGATAGCTTCAAGGCATGCCGGTAATAGCAAAGGTCTGAATGATGCATTGGGGGCACCGCGGCATGTGCTATCGGCGATCTGCAGCTGAAGAATTTATACAGGTAACTCGAGCTCGTGTAGGCTTGTGTACTTACCTGCCACCTAAGGATATATTATGCAGCCTTTGAGCTGAATACCGGATAGTTTGTAGGTCGTCTTGAACCAGAGTGCGCTGTGTGAAGAAATTAAATTCCATCACAGACGGCGCCTTGTAGGAATGCCGGGCAGTGTCACCCCAAGGGCTTCGAAAACAGTTTACTTCCTAAAATTACTGAGACCTGCTGAATTTAGATTAGTCTTTGTTTGAAACTTGTCTGGCCTCAAGGCCAATGAAATGCTTATGACGAAAATTATGCAATTAGTAATTCTGAAGCGCATAGACGGCTACCAACGAAAGTCAAGGAATGATACCTTACATCCAGCGCTGTGCATCAGAGCAACGCAGAGCTTCATGAGCCTTTTCCTAGTTAGTTACATTAACCCCATGGCTCCCCCCCCCCTGCAGCGGAGGGGGGTCGTCAGTGACAGGAAACAGGCTGTACGTGCCTCAGGCCAGCCGGACGGACGAACGTTTACCCTGCAGGCAAACAGTTTTGTTCTGGCGCGCTCATCGGGCCCCTGTGGTGATGAAATGTGAAATGGCAGGTCGCGTGGGGAGGCGGGCGCCGCCATGGTGGATCGCATCGTTTCGGTGTGGCAGATGAGCAAAGTTATGGCTATTTTATGGCATTAGCTGGGTTCCCGGCGCCGTTGGTGTTATACCTATGTTGACTCACCTACTTTTAGTGGTAGGCGTTGCCACGCCTTTGCTAAAATAGGACTTGCTCATGGCCCCGTTTATTGTCCAATGGTTGACAAGAGTTATCCTGTGTTATTCTGTAAAAAATGCACTATATTTGAACAGTACAATCATGTTTTCCAAAAGCTGATCGTAATATCTAGCGATATATAGGTAAAGTGCTGACGCATGTGTTTCTGTATGTTCCAGGGAAGGCGTTTTCTCGTACCAGTCGGTGTTGGAGAGTCTGGTGGAGTCGGCTTTAGGTGAGTCCATAAGTCGCTGAACGGTAGCCTTGTTGTCTATTTTGCTAGATAATGCTGCAGATTTCAGTGCGTAAATAAAGCTGGAATGTGGGACTTAACATTTCAAGTTCATTTGTCGTCTTGGTAGAATGTCACTGAAACATAGCAAGAATTGCCGTTTCTTATTTAATGACCGAATTTTAGCGTGCAAGGAGCTTTTATTCAAGTTTTATCATTAAAATTTGCAAAAGGCAGGATTAATTGAAATAGTCTGAGGTTGTGTTCCAAATTTAACCACTTTTTACGGGATGCATTTCAAAACTGAACAAAATGGTCAGCAATGATGAAAATATATTATATCTTCCCGTGCCGCATAATGTTTCGCCGCAAGACCAAACCTCCTAGGCCGAAAGTTTCCGCTATTTTGGTACATAGATTACCTCTCGCCCGTGCTCCTCTGCCGCTGTGAGCTGTCTGCGGCGCAGATACAGGCCTGCAGTAACAGCTGCACTGAGCGCCCAGGTTACAGTGCTATTGAGTTTTATGTCGGCTTGTAATGGCCCCACGGGGACCCACTTTGGCTCAGCCCGGACGTAAACTCGTCTGCTCAACCTGATGTCTGTCCCGCACGCAGGACTCTACTAGCAGGGCTTTTCTTGGATGTCAGATAGAAATAATGTAGTGAATGCTAGCTAAAAGCTGATACGCGCAAGAGGAAGATTGTTAATCGGTGTTTTGCTTTTTTCATTCCTTTTGCAGACATGTTGGTAGGCTTAACTACTATGGGCCATACCCAGCTATTCAATAACTAATTTTGGGCTTATCTGATTGGCGCTTAATTTTTGCATAATTTAACGGCTAACATTTCGGTAGAAATTGACTTTGTATATCATTCCTGATGGAATTCATTTAAATAGCAATGACGATGAATATTTATTTGCTAGCTTTCGTATTTTGTCTTTTGTACATAACACTTGCTTTTTCTCCCTCTATGCTCCCGCATATATTTTTTTTTTCATTTTCTTCTTTGCCGGTAAACAGTACGTAAAGGGCTGTATGGAGGACATGCTCGCACGAGTGTGTGTATGTCAGTTATATTTATCTTGGTAGCGTGTTGTAAAGAGTTTAATAAAAGACTTCCTAGGTATCTGCTTCGCTGGATTTGCGAGACTGGTAGAGAATGCGGCCTCATATGAAACTTGTTAACCTTTCTTTAATCAGCGCCACTCTAATTCCACTATCTTATTCCACCTGAACATTCGCCTCGTTCGTAGCGTGTAACTTATTTCAGAGGCGCCGCGTCTAACTTCCCCGTCATTTAGTTTGTCCAAAGTCAGCGTTCCCTTCTCACCAAGTAAATCAAGTCAACAGAGTGAGCTTATTTCGCAGCGGTGCACGCCAAACTCTGGCTTTCGTCGTCGCCGGTCGCTCGGCTAACAAAGTCACCAATCGGGTACCTTTCCACGGGAAAACAAACTAATTGAGGGCCGAGGAGAGCCACGTCAGCAGAAAGTGCGCAGCCTGGGGCGATTGATCCGCAGCTCTAAAGGTGGCGCACGGGCCAGTGGTTTATTAGAAATGTCAACAGGGCTGGATGGGTGTGTAGGTGCCGTGTTGTTTGCAAGGTAAATTTGATTTGCTGATTTCGAGTTTGGAGATCGGTTATTGGGAGGAATTGTCAAGCTTTGATATCTGTGGCGTTGCCTGAAAACTGACTCAGTCAAACTGACTGACAATCAAATTAATCAATCCAATAATCATGTGAAAACCCATAAATTTCTTTCAACACCAGTTTTGAACCAATCGTTCAACAAAAGCTATTGTACCGTTTTCGCCTTATTTGGGACGGAGAGTGGATCACATCCATGATCCAGCTCACTTTCACACAAAAGAAAAGTGTCACAAAGTATTGTTTAAGCGCGGTACATTCGATATGGTTATGTCATTTCTTTGGCTTGTTGCCGTGCAGACTCAACACACGGCACAATGTGCCTTGCGTCGCCGGTCGCCTAGCAGCGCATTCCCGTACACTGGATGGGTATACTGTCCCGCGAGACATCGGCGCAATGCGGCGCAGCCTACCTGCTATCCGACAACGTATCACAGAACAGCGATGGATCCTTGTGAGTTTCTGGCTTTTAGTTGAGTGGTATTTACCGCATGGTGGGCTGAACAAATGTTTCCTTTCACGGCGTTTTCATTTGTCATCGGAAACTTGGAAAGAACATGACTCATTGATATGTTGTGCACTTATTCAAACTTTATTACTACCAATTCACTTTGAAATTTTGTAGCACTTGCGCTCTACCATTTTATTCAACAGACTTGATTGTATTAGGTCGCCCGGTTTCAATTAACCCGCGCCCTGCTGGGGGGGGGGGGGTGTTTGAACACCCCCCTTGTGGTTTTTCGCGAATATCTCAAAAACGGCGGCGCGGAGCGCCGCCGTTTTTGGTACACCTTATCATACATCAATTCTACACATGTTGTGAAAATTTCAGACCAAGGTCATTCAAGGTCAGGTCACCAGGTCACTTGAAGTGACCTCACCTCATAAAAAGTTTCAATGCCTGTCATAGCTACACCGAGTGACCGATCGCTTTGAAACTTTCAGCGACTGCTAAGAGCAATAGCATGTACAAAATGTATATCTCAGAATTTTGATATCGATGACCTAAGGTCAGGTCAATTTTGCGACCTCCCCATTATAAGTCAATGGGAGAAAATTGAAATGCGCCTCCTTTGAACGAAAGACATTATAAACACTCCCAAACACTGAATTACAAGTGGTTTAGACACACTGAACATGAAAATGGTGTCCGTGACCCCTGTTTATGCCCTGAGGTCATCTTAGGTCACGAATGGTATCTAACAGTTTTTCGCAAATAACTTTTGATAGAGGCATGCTAGAGCGATGAAAACGCCTTAGATGTGTTCAGCTCGACGATACGGATCGACTGATATGCAACATGACCCTTTCCGGTCAGGTCATGACCTTGACCTGAGGTCAAATTTTCAAGTTGACCTTTCAAGGTCAAGTTATAGTTCATTCGATGCGTCTTGACAAGAGGAACACGATGCCGGTAAAAGTAAGCTCGTACAAGGCTTGGGTCAAAAGTTATTGCAGAAAAACTGTTTCCGAAAAAATCGGCTATTTTTGCAGTTTTTGCCCCCTGCAGGCAAAACCGTTGACGTTAGATCAAATCTGAGAATTACTCAGAAAGGGCGTTAATAGGGCTATCGAATGCGCTTTTCCGCGGAGCTGTAGCTCTATTGGTTCCCGAGTTATGCGTTGGGTTCTTGGAAATTGTCGACATTCGACCTGGAAATCGGCGAAATTTTGCCTTCAATGACCTCTGGTGACCTGACCTTTGACCTGACCAAAAAATTGACCGAAGTGATTTCGTCATTATTTTTGACGCTCTTTCGAACGCCGCCTTCCGCGTATCGCTACGTGGCCCAGGAGCCGAGTTAGAAGGGGGGGGTGTTCAAACACCCCCCCCCAGCAGGGCGTGGAAATCCAGGACCCCCAGCCGGGCGCGGGTTAAAGCTCCAAATAAAATAATCCCTTGTCTCGATCTACCCTGGCAGTTATCGACCGGAAAAGATCAACTTCTCCAGTAACGCTAAACGAACAACCCATGTTCTATCTAACCAACACCTATACCTACCCGAGCCCCCAGCCCGGTATCAATTGCGGGCTTCATTAACCGCCGCTCGTTCTCTGGCTCGCTGTCACTTTCTGTGTAATATCACCGAGCCGTAGGTGGCGTAGTCCGCACCTCCCGCATCGATTTTAGCTCCTGCCGGCCGCCGAGCGAGCACTGAGGCTCAGGGCAGACGCGCACTAAACCGCAGCTAAAAGGTGTCGCGCCGGTCGGCTGATTAATGACGTCACTGGGTGTTTAATTACGGCCGCGCGGATCGGTGCCGCAGTGGGGGGCAGGTATTGGGATGCTCTTTGAATTCGGCACGGACAGAATAGAAGAAGACGTGATAAAAATTATGAAGTTCATTGATTTGTTCTAATAATGTTGAATGATACGATATTTGTGATACTTCTAGCTTTGGCAAATTAGACCTCACATACATTTTTCTTAATCAGGGTATCGATGAAATCCTACAAATGCATACGCGAATGAGCTCAAGCAATCGTACGGTATCTTCTAAAAGCCCCTGTTAATCATGGAAGACGCTGGTGTACTCCGTGGGCTCGTGCGGGCGCAGTCGAGTACGTTGAGAAGCCTGGTCGTGCTTCTGTGGCGCTCTCTCCGGCTGGCAGAGCAGATATGTCTCCGGCTGGTCGTTCTCCGGACTATATTGATGCAGGGTCTCTCTGTGGATGATTTAGAGAGCCATACATCAGATGTGACGCTGGCGTTCGGGGGACGACGCGGAACGGTATAAATACTACGGTAGTATGGAAGATCACGGGGTCTAACGCGAACTTTCTTTGGTAAACAGGAGGCATTAGTGGTAGATTGAGGGTGTTAGCAATAATACTGGTTGAAAAAAGACGCCATTCACTATTGCATACATGGATTCAGCAGAAAGTTCGTGAGGAAAATACACATCAGTATGCGATTTTTTGCCACATGGAAGTGTGATGCATCAGTGTAGATAGATACCATATTGTGGCGTTCTTATAAAGCGTCAATGGCATTTTTCCTGCAGATCAGAGCAGCGCCGCATGGAGCCGGTGTCTGCTCGCCATACCCCCGGACGACTCGGCGGCGCAGTCAGCTGACTGCGCTGATAACGTCATTGGGATGAGACAGTGGCGGCGCAGTCTGCTGGAGCGACTCGGCAAGGACAACGTCGTGCCTATAAGGTGGGAATAATGCCACTTTTGGAAGGATGTTGAAGAAAGGGATGTGAGCATGGCGATGATTTATAACTAATTAACTAGTAAAATAGTGTCCCTTAAATGGGAACAACATTGAAGTCTCTCGGTCATGCAATCGCAGGAAGTACAAAATGTGAGTAAGGACCCCCAGACCTTATCGTATTGAGTGCGGCACAAAGCGTTCGACCCTTCTCGGCCAGTTACCCCGCACTCAACTCCA